TCAAAGGAGGTTCATTGGTGCCAGAGTGGGGCTCTTGATACAGGGAATTGAACCTGCCCTCTCCTGTTTGGGGGGTCACACCAGATTGTCTTCATTTTCCCTAGGCACTGTATGACCTGTAAGGATTTAGCGCTTCGTCCTACATATAATAATAATATAATAATAATAATAATAATACTTAGATCTAGATTCAACCTGGCTGTGACTGCCGGTTTGAGAATAGTTGATCAAGGTTCGGTGTAATATGCTGTCACTGTGCGTGTATAAGTTCACCTTAAGTTTCATCTGGTCCAGCCAGTGGTAGAACTTAGTAATTGGAAATAGGATTGAGCTTGAATTATAATACTGGCAGGTGGGAGAGGCTAAGAGGTCTTCACGGGATATTTATTGTGGAGTAAATCATCGTTTCGGTAATAAATCCATCACCATAATCAGGAATCATAATCTGGAATATTACATAAAAGTGATGTCATTCCTGTTGATAGTGATGAATTTACCACAGAAAAGTTAATTTACTCTACAATAAATATCCTATGAAGATCTCAGTCTTTCCCACAATCTAAAATTAGTAATAGGATTTTCTGGAGAACAGGTGTTAATATCAATATACATCACTACCATACATAGTCAGCAATGCCTGAAGTAGCCGTGGCGTATGATAAGACGATTCTTGAATTATATCCCATGGAGAATATTACGGATGAACAGGACTCAAATGAGGAAAGTCCTCCGGTTCAGGAACAAGAATCTGTACCTTACCATAGTCCACTGTTATTGCCAGTTTCTTACGGGAACGGATATTACACTAGACGTTAAAACGATGTTAAATTTAGGAGATGAGCTCAAGTTGTAGAGACTGTGCCAGAGAAGAATAGTTTATCACATCCCCCACAGTTCCATGTGAGGAAGTATACATAGGGAAAACTTTTACGAGCCGAGAACAACGCATCTGTGAACACATGCTCTTCAAACAGACGACCTAACTATTGTCATACACCGCAACACACAATCATGAAGTGTCACAAAGACAAACTTGTCATCAAGGAATCAGACCTAAATCGCAGACAATGTTAGAAATTTGCTCTCATCGCCACCACTAATGATTTTGCTCAAAGTTTCCCTTCAAATACAGTTTATACACCAAGTTTGATTTAAAAATACGATAATTCGTGTTTCTACACAGTAAAACATCAAAAATTTTATATACATGCATTTTTTTTTTCAACAAGTCGGCCGTCTCCCACCGAGGCAGGGTGACCCAAAAAAGAAAGAAAATCCCCAAAAAGAAAATACTTTCATCATCATTCAACACTCTTCACCACACTCACACATTATCACTGTTTTTGCAGAGGTGCTCAGAATACAACAGTCTAGAAGCATACACATATAAAGATACACAACATATCCCTCCAAACTGCCAATATCCCAAACCCCTCCTTTAAAGTGCAGGCATTGTACTTCCCATTTCCAGGACTCAAGTCCGACTATATGAAAATAACCGGTTTCCCTGAATCCCTTCACTAAATATTACCCTGCTCACACTCCAACAGATCGTCAGGTCCCAAGTACCATTCGTCTCCATTCACTCCTATCTAACACGCTCACGCACGCTTGCTGGAAGTCCAAGCCCCTTGCCCACAAAACCTCCTTTACCCCCTCTCTCCAACCCTTTCGAGGACGACCCAACCCCGCCTTCCTTCCCCTATAGATTTATATGCTTTCCATGTCATTCTACTTTGATCCATTCTCTCTAAATGACCAAACCACCTCAACAACCCTTCTTCTGCCCTCTGACTAATACTTTTATTAACTCCACACCTTCTCCTAATTTCTACACTCCGAATTTTCTACATAATATTTACACCACACATTGCCCTTAAACAGGACATCTCCACTGCCTCCAACCGTCTCCTCGCTGCTGCATTTACCACCCAAGCTTTACACCCATATAAGAGTGTTGGTACTACTATACTTTCATACATTCCCTTCTTTGCCTCCATAGATAACGTTTTTTGACTCCACATATACCTCAACGCACCACTCACCTTTTTTCCCTCATCAATTCTATGATTAACCTCATCCTTCATAAATCCATCCGCCGACACGTCAACTCCCAAGTATCTGAAAACATTCACTTCTTCCATACTCCTCCTCCCCAATTTGATATCCAATTTTTCTTTATCTAAATCATTTGACACCCTCATCACCTTACTCTTTTCTATGTTCACTTTCAACTTTCTACCTTTACACACATTCCCAAACTCATCCACTAACCTTTGCAATTTTTCTTTAGAATCTCCCATAAGCACAGTATCATCCGCAAAAAGTAACTGTGTCAATTCCCATTTTGAATTTGATTCCCCAAAATTTAATCCCACCCCTCTCCCGAACACCCTAGCATTTACTTCCTTTACAACCCCATCTATAAATATATTAAACAACCATGGTGACATTACACATCCCTGTCTAAGACCTACTTTTACCGGGAAGTAGTCTCCCTCTCTTCTACACACCCTAACCTGAGCCTCACTATCCTCATAAAAACTCTTTACAGCATTTAATAACTTACCACCTATTCCATATACTTGCAACATCTGCCACATTGCTCCTCTATCCACTCTATCATATGCATTTTCTAAATCCATAAATGCAATAAAAACTTCCCTACCTTTATCTAAATACTGTTCACATATATGCTTCAATGTAAACACTTAATCTACACATCCCCTACCCACTCTGAAACCTCCTTGCTCATCCGCAATCCTACATTCTGTCTTACCTCTAATTCTTTCAATTATAACCCTACCGTACACTTTTCCTGGTATACTCAGTAAGCTTATTCCTCTATAATTTTACAGTCTCTTTTGTCCCCTTTCCCTTTATATAAAGGGACTATACATGCTCTCCCCCAAAATCCCTAGGTACCTTCCCCTCTTTCATACATTTATTAAACAAAAGTACCAACCACTCAACACTATATCCCCCCCTGCTTTTAACATTTCTGTCATGATCCCATCAGTTCCAGCTGCTTTACCCCCTTTCATTTTACGTAATGCCTCACGTACCTCCCCACACTTACATTCTGCTCTTCTTCACTCCTAAAAGATGGTATACCTCCCTGACCAGTGCATGAAATTACTGCCTCTGTTCTTCCTTAACATTTAAAAGTTCCTCAAAATATTCTCGCCATCTACCCAATACCTCCATCTCCCCATCTACTAACTCCCCTACTCTGTTTTTAACTGACAAATCCATATTTTCCCTAGCTTTCTTAACTTGTTTAACTCACTCCAAAATTTTTTCTTATTTTCATTAAAATTTCTTGACAGTGCCTCTCCACTCTATCATCTGCTCTCCTTTTACACTCTCTCACCACTCTCTTTACCTTTCTTTTACTCTCCATATACTCTGCTCTTCTTATAACACTTCTGCTTTGTAAAAACCTCTCATAAGTTTACCTTTTTTCTCTTTTATCACACCCTTTACTTCATCATTCCACCAATCACTCCTCTTTCCTCCTGCTCCCACCCTCCTATAACCACAAACTTCTGCCCCACATTCTAATACTGCATTTTTAAAACTATTCTAACCCTCTTCAACCCCCCCACTACTCATCTTTGCACTAGCCCACCTTTCTGCCAATAGTCGCTTATATCTCACCCGGACTTCCTCCTCCCTTAGTTTATACACTTTCACCTCCCTCTTACTTGTTGTTGCCACCTTCCTCTTTTCCCATCTACCTCTTACTCTAACTGTAGCTACAACTAAATAATGGTCCGATATATCAGTTGCCCCTCTATAAACATGTACATCCTGGAGCCTACCCATCAACCTTTTATCCACCAATACATAATCTAATAAACTACTTTCATTACGTGCTACATCATACCTTGTATATTTATTTATCCTCTTTTTCATAAAATTTTGTATTACTTATTACCAAATTTCTTTCTACACATAGCTCAATTAAAGGCTCCCCATTTACATTTACCCCTGGCACCCCAAATTTACCTACTACTCCCTCCATAACATTTTTACCCACTTTAGCATGAAATCCCCAACCACCATTACTCTCACACTTGATTCAAAACTCCCCACGCATTCACTCAACATTTCCCAAAATCTCTCTCTCTCCTCTACACTTCTCTCTTCTCCAGGTGCATACACCCCTTTATTAAAACCCCACTTTTCACATCCAATCTTTTTTTTAAACTCCACATAATCCTTGAATTAATACATTTATAGTCCCTCTTTTCTTGCCATAGCTTATCCTTCAACATTATTGCTACTCCTTCTTTAGCTCTAACTCTATTTGAAACCCCTGACCTAATCCCATTTATTCCTCTCCACTGAAACTCTCCCACCCCCTTCAGCTTTGTTTCACTTAAAGCCAGGACATCCAGCTTCTTCTCATTCATAACATCCACAATCATCTCTTTCTTATCATCTGCACAACATCCACGCACATTCAGACTTCCCACTTTGACAATTTTCTTCTTCTTATTCTTTTTATTAATCTTTACAGGAAAAGGGGTTACTAGCCCATTGTTCCCGGCATTTTAGTTGACTTTTACAACACGCATGGCTTACGGAGGAAAGATTCTTATTCCACTTCCCCATGGATATAAAAGGAAAATTAATAAGACCAAGAACTATTAAGATAAAATCAAAGAAAACTCAGATGAGTGTCTATAAATAAATGTGTACATGTATGTGTAGTGTGACCTAAGTGTAAGTAGAAGTAGCAAGACATGCCTGTAATCTTGCATATTTATGAGACAGACAAAAGACATCAGCAATCCTACCATCATGTAAAAGAATCACAGGCTTTCGTTTTACACTCACTTGGCAGGACGGTAGTACCTCCCTGGGTGGTTGCTGTCTACCAACCTACTACTACATGCATATTGTGGCAAAAATTTCAAGGCTTAAGAATTTTCAATTATCCACATTGAACTGCATCTGTCATTTCCCGAAACCATGAACAGGCTAGCACTTACCAGTGTACAACAATAGTAACAGAAGCTTGCCAAGCTTGCCTCAAAGCACCCAGCTTCCATTCCTGAAAAAGAAAATTTTGATATGCGGAGCCCCGACTTACAGACCAAGATAAGCTCCATCTTTCATAACACAGGCAACTTTATCACGAGAATAATGATCAAACACATCCTACCTACGCTGAGCCTTGATATCACCTAAACTCTGCCCACAGCCCATACAGCACCTGACATGACCCGCTACTCTGTATTCCCTGGTCTCTGTATGGAACTGACAAAGCCAATGGATGACGAAACATAGTTAAAGCAAAAAAGTCTTAATATAGCAAATGTTTCTCTCTCTCGCATGCGAGAAATGAGAGGAAATAGGTTTGATTCAAGGAAGGAGAGGGGTAGCACCAATTCCTAGCATCAAAAGTTCTTCAACAGCACCAGGCCCTCCTCCCACTTTAAAGGAATAGAAGTTACAGTAATTAATTAGTCATCATGAAGACAATACTAAAAAAAAAAAGCACTAAAACAACCACATAGAACATCACTACAACAACCACACAGAACATCACTACAACAACCACACAGAACATCACTACAACCACCTCACAGAACATCACTACAACCACCTCACAGAACATCACTATAACAACCATACAGAACATCACTTCCTCATTACAACAGCCGCATAGAACATCACTTCATCAGTAAGACAGACTTAGTTCAAACATGTCCATTTACGACAGTGAATCTTTCACTGCCAGCATCACTGTTAGCGAGATCAAGGCTAATGAAATGTGCCCCTATCACTGCTAATGAGATCGGAGATGATGAATTGTGCCAGCATCACTACTAGTGAGATCAGAGATACTGAATGGTGCCAGCATTACTACTAGTGAGATCAGAGATAATGAATGGTGCCAGCATCACTACTAGTGAGATCCGAGATAATGAATGGTGCCAGCATCACTACTAGTGAGATCCGAGATAATGAATTGTGCCAGCATTACTACTAGTGAGATCAGAGATAATGAATGGTGCCAGCATTACTACTAGTGAGATCAGAGATAATGAATGGTGACCGCAGCACTGCTAGTGAGATTAGGGCTAGTGAACTGTGCCCCATCACTGCTAGTGAGACTAGGTCTTGATGGTAAAGTACCTTTCTTTATCTGCCTATTTCGTCTGTCTGGTTTATTGGTCCCTCCTCCTGTTACGGTTAACTAGGCGTGTAGTAGTAGTGCTGCTTGGTGGCGATGCTTGGTGGTTCCCGGTGGGTGGTAGTGTTGGTGTTAGTGGTAATGGTGGTTGTTTTTGTCGTGGGGGCTATGGTGATTTTGGTTGTAGCTGAGGCTGGTGTTGGCGAGGTGATCGATGGCTGTGTGGAAGATTACAATTCAGGAGGTAGAAAAGCCAATTTGTTTTTATTTAACAAAATTAGATACATCAGCAGTGTGCTGTTACATTATTTTAAATGATAATTACATAGTGGGGACATCAGTAATATGATGCTACACCATTTTAAATGATAGTTACATAGTGGGAACACCAGTAATATGATGCTACACTATTTTTAAATATTTACATAGTGGGGACACGAGGAATGTGAATATATTTATATGGTAGGAACAAAGCTATATTTCCCTGTCACACCATCACACAGGTCACATACATACAGTAGTATTGAAGTCAAGCCTTGGACTAGCCCCTTCAACACAAAAACATTCCCACCACTAACTCTTTTCATTATGTCTTTACATTCATCCCGTGGCAAATATATAAGTGAGAATTCTTGGGTTGGAGAAGAATCTGCCTTGCATGGGCCAGTAGGCCTACCGTAGTGCTCCTCCATTCTTACGTTTTTATGTAACCCCACCATGAGTTACACACTTTACCATTACACCCCCACCCCACCAGGACTAACACACAATCATGAAAATGATCCCGGTCACTAACGTTTATCTCTTTCCACTGGTCATTACACCTACTCTCTTGAAGTACCCCATCAATTTCACATTAATAATTTTAAAAACACAAATGGACATCACTCGCCCCAACTTCCAAGAATTTTGCAAACAGCAGAGCTGGAATCTACACCATCCCCTACATAGGGTGGGGCAAGTATTAAGTAGGTGACACTCCACACACCTTTGATGTCAACTTTCAGAAACATAGTTATACACGTTGAGTCCATAACACAATGTATGCATCATACACAGAGATAACAAGGCATATAAGTGAGGCAACAGTTTCTTGCACTGCTTTCTTAAGTAGTGGAATCTTATTGTTCTTAGTAACAAGCATGTATCTAATCCTTAAGAGTGGGTAGTGAGTAGGGAGGAATGTCACTGACAGGCGTACCGCATTTAACAGGGATGTTCAGATTAACTAGATTACTCACATCTGCCTTCAGTCATTGTGTGTTCAGAGACTGGTATGTTAATGTACGTATGTTCACCAGTGGTAACTTAACTACATTTCGTTATAGATTAACAACTAAATATATTTTCACCAATAACTGCAGAAAAAAAATGTTCGCCGTATAATAAGCAATACATTGAAATAATCTTCGCTTTTGCAAAGCTGACGAACATAGGTTAATGTAAGAGTTGGTCCCTTATACAACTGTCATGATATATCTCGTGCTGTGATATATGTACATTCTTAAGTATGATTATACGTTTTTATTCTCGCATGATACACCGGCGATTATACTCAACAGAAGGGAACATTCCTTTTTTAACAAATGAAAAATTCCCCTTGTGGACATCTGTTACAGAAAACTTAACCTTTGGATCTGATAATAGCAGAGTATCTGGTGAGAGATGCACGCCGCTCCACGGAACGGATTTGTAATAACAGGCGTTAGTGCCCCTGCCGTCAATACCTGCATTATCGTAGCCCCAGGCCCTGCCTACCTCCACCATTACCACAACTACCCCCGTCACCACCACCAGCGTAACCCACTTTATACGGAATACAGCTGCTGGCTTGGCCACCCCATCGGCACAGCCTTCGCCCTGAATTGCATATTCACTGGGATGCGCTAAACCTAATAGGTTCGTACAGCACCTAGGGAGAATGGGAGGTAGTCAGCTTTGAAGCTAGAAATGACAAGAGTAGCTCAAACTCCCAGGTTCAAGAGCCCCTCACCAGCATGAAGGCACTCTTCACTTGAGGGGAACCGCCACGTTGAACTTGAACGCACCGGGACGCTGGACAATGAGGAATGAAAGTGACTAGAACAAGCATAAGCAAAGAACTCTTTAACACAGGTGCACACATGGTCAAGATGTTCATTTGTTGTCCAGGCCAAACATCAGAATTGGGAAGAAATGTGGTCAAAGTGACTTTGACGGTGGAATGATTTGAGTATCTCAGAAACTGCTGATCACCTAGGATTTTCACGCACAAGTCTCTGGGAGTTCACAGATAATGTAAAAAACACAAAATATTCAGTGAGCGGCAGTTCTGTGGGCGAAAACGCCTTGTTAATGAGAAGTCAGAGGAGAGTGGCAGAGTGGTTCAAATTTACAGGAAGGTGATAGTAACTCAAATCATGCGTTACATCAGTGGTATGCAGAACATCTCTGAAATCGCATCACATCGAACCTTAAAGTGTCAACTAAGAACAGGAAACTGAGGCTACAGTGAGCACAGGCTCACCAAAACTGGGCAGCTGCAGATTGGAAAACCATCTGGTATGACGAATCACGATTCCTGCCGCAACATCTAGATGGTAAGGTCAGAATTTGGGGTAAACATGAACTCATGGATCCATCCTGCCTACGAAGCCGTCAAAACCGCAGCAACTGCGTGCTGCTATCGTGTCAACATGGACCAGAATCTCTCTGGAATGTTTCCAGGATCTTGTTGAATCCATGCCACGAAGAATTCAGGCTGTTCTGGGGCAAAGAGGAGCCCTAACCAGTACTAAAAGGATGTACCTAATGAAGTAGCTACTGGGCATATTAAGACAGTCCTAACCAGAGGTAACCTAACCTTATCAAATTCTACACTTTACAAGTCCCCTTTCCACACTAGTGCCCTTGTGTGAAATAAGACACATGTGCAGTGTTATGATGTTTTACTAAGGGAAACGTTTTGTCACGAAATGTCATCGTAACATAACGTTTCCTCAGTAAGATAATCTAACACTGCATATGTCTTATTTCATATTTGTCGGTATTTTAGGTGAAGAGAGAGATCAGACACTGAACCCAAACACGTACGCTAAAAGTATTAAAAAATGCATGTATCTACATATTGTTTGTATACATGTATATACATATTTGAATACGTGCACTGATTAATAAAAAAAAAGCATATAGGAGACAATAAGCAACTCGCTTCCACACGACAGACTTCAACATCAATACAGAAGAAAATTAGCATTAACATTAGCTGCAGCACCAGGCCTCAGTCACCAGCAGTCGACCATACACGCAAGCAGCCATTATTATCATCAGAATCAATTTAAGTGTTAAACACGAAAGGGTCACACAACCCTGAAAAAACGTACGTGTCGGTGTACATATCCTCGGGATATTATGGTCTCTGAAGGTTGCTTACTCAACTTGCAAGCAGCACCAATGTAACATCAGTATATGTCCAACTAGAAGCAAAATAATTACCATCATCACAAGAGTAACACCAGTATCTGTCCAACTAACAGCAGTTATCACTAGCAAATACGTAATTCACACACCAAATAAAAAATAACGAAAACCAAGTATTTTGTTCATTTTAAAGTTTGATACAAAATTATGAATGACTCACATTTGGTTTAACGCTTTGCGAAATATGATCTTCATGGCGCTTTAAGAGGCCTAATTAGTAATCCAGATAGTGTGTGTTCAGTTCGTTCATTCCTAAAGGGCTCTTGATCTAAGGAACTGGAACTCATCTTCCTTCCAAAGAATAAAAAGACAATACCGTGACCGGAACAATACACAAATAACCTGCACATGGGAGACTGAAACTTACAACGACGTTTCGGTCCGACTTTGACCACTGACTAGTAAATGATCCAAGTCGGATCGAAACGTCGTCGTAAGTTCCAGTCTCCTAAATGCAGGTTATTTGTATATAATCTTCCAATCACTGGCTTAAACTTGATTACCTCCTACTCCGCAGGCGCTGTGGTGTTGAGCTTTGTTGATAGTGATAGCTATTGTGGGGATGGTCGGGTGATAGTGGAGGTTGTTGTGGTGATGGTTGGTTGATAGGATGGTGGTGGTAGGATGTTGGTAGTGGTGATGGTAAGGTTATAGTGGTAGTGGTCAGTCGGTATTATTGGTGTAGTGGATTAATGGTGATGGTGGTTCGTTGATGCTTCTGGTGTTGGCAGAGGTGGTAGCGAATTGACTGTGATGGTGACTTAGTTGTGATAGTGGTGGTGATTCGGTGGTGGTGGTGGGTTGACAGTAATGGTGGTGGTAGGGATGAGAATCGTATTAGTAATAGTAGAAGTAACATTTGTAGCAATAAAATCAGTAGTAATAGTAAGAAGTAGTAATAGTGGTAATAACAGTAATAATGGTAATTATAGTAGTAGTAATAGTGGTGGTAGTGGATAGTGGTAGTAGTGGCGGTTCTAGTAGTAACGGTGGTGGTAGTTGTGGCAGTAGTAGTAGTGGTGGTTGTAGTAGTAGTACTGGTGGTGGTGGCGGTAACAGTAGTAGTGGTGGTGGTGTAGGTAGTAGTAATAATAGTTGTGGTGGTGTAGGTAGTAGTAATAATAGTTGTGGTGATAGTAATAGTAGTTGTGGTGGTAGTGATTTTAGTTGTAGTAGTGGTACTGGCGGTAATTGTAGTAGTAGTAGTAGTAGTAGTGGTGGTGGTGGTGGTGGTAGTAGTAGTAGTAGTATTCATCTTCAACACTGCCACTATCAACATCAACATTTCCACTTTCATTATCCACTTCATCATCATCACTGCCACATGAATTCACCGCCGACACCATCATCACCACATCCAGTTATTGCTCACACTAAACTCCCTTCCATTAATCACTTTGATCACTGCTGTAGTTACCGCCGCCGCCGCCAACGCCACCACTACTACCACCACCACTACCACAACCACCACCACTACCACAACTACCACCACTACCACAACTACCACCACCATTACCACCACCACCACCACCACCACCAAAAAACCGCCAACACAACACCATGAACTATAAAGCAGTCTCACTAACATACTGGCTATGGTACAGGAAAAGATACAAGAAAGATAATGTTTTTGCACTTCGAAATGGATATATAAGAGACAACCAGCATGGGTTTAGAGATGGCAGATCTTGCCACACGAATCTTCTAAAATTTTATGAGTGACAGAAATAAAGCAGGAGAGAG